CCCCCCGCCATGCCGTGTCCAGGAAGAGAGTGCTGTATTTGTTATCCACCGAGGCCAGGTACTTGGCCAGAGGGTGAGAGCCTGTGCGTGAGAAGGGCGACGTTGGCTCCAGGCCAGGGAGCCCGGGGAGGTGAAAGGGGACAACCCCGGGGCCGGGCTCACGGCAGCTCTCACCCAGTGGCACGAGCAGGAAGCGAAGGTAGTTGAGCCAGTCGGGTGTCTTGCTGGCCAGCTGCTCCACGAAGAAACGGAGGACAACGCTCAGGTAGCTCTGGTCCCCTGCCACCACCACCTTCACCGGGGGAGGCATGTGGGAGTTACAGTTGCAGCTGCCGAAGGGAGAGAAAAGAGGACCGTGAGGGAGGCGCAGTGGCTCAGCAGGGTGGGTCGGGGCTTCCAGCTTGCTGCCACAGCCACAGGTGCAACCAGCACTGGGATCTCCCGCTTTCCCCAGGGCCTACGCCGGCTCCCACAGTTGTGTCCACAATCCCAAAGGGCCCTAACGAGCCCTAGGGGTGCCAGGGCCCTTGCCAGCCCCTCCCTGTGGTCACAGGGAGATGCCAGGCTGAGGCCAAGCTGTACTCACTATCGCTGGATGCGGGAGACCGTGGTGTTGAAGGCTGCCTGGATGTCCGCCACGGAGCAGGTGGATACGACCAACTGCTTGTGCGCCTGGAGCTGCTCGCTCACGTACTGTCAAGGCAGAGAGTTCGGGTTAAGGCACCCTGCAGGGGACAGCACCAGCCCGTGCATGCCCTGTCCCCTGTCCCCACCCACACCGTGCAGGGAGGCTGAAGCCATCCAGCCACCCCCCGTTGCACACCCCAGCACCCCGCTCCTCCCAGCTCTGCGTCAGGGGTCTGGCTGCCCTAGGGCCCTGCGCTCGCCTTTCAGCACAGCAGTCACCATCCTGCCACGGCAAGGGCAAAACCATCCCAAGGACCAGGCTGTGTCCCTTGAGATAAAGGGTTTGGTCCAGAGACCCTCCGATTTAAATCCTGCCACCCCACAGCCTGGCCCAGCTCTAGGCTAAATCCCCCTTTGCTCACTCCCTTCCCTCGCTCTCTCCCCCTGCGGCACTCCAAAATCCTTCCGTGCCTCTTTAAGTGTCCGTGTGCAGCTGAACAGTGGCAAACCTGGCAGTTTTGCTAGACAAGGGGCCTAAGAAGATGCCATGACAGGGTCTGGGACTGGGCATTGCTCCTTTTTTCCCCATCAGGACAAGAGCTAGAGCAGGAGCACGCCAAGGATGCATGGCTTGCACCACCTCTCACTGAGAAGCCCTTTCTTCTGCCACAAACCCTGCCTTGATTTTCCAGTGCTGTTTCTGCGTGTCAGAGGTAGCTGCAGGATCCCAGAGGGGTCTGACCAGTCCTGCTGTAGCTGCTGTTTGCATGTCTGTGCACACGTACGTGGCCCTGCTCACCCCCAGCAGTCACCTCCTCCGTGCACTGGGAGGGAGGTGCTCGTCAGGGGCTAAGCCCGTCCTCACATGGAGGGGGTGACCAGCATGAGGCCTCACGCACCTCCCTGCCCAGAGACCCCAGCTCTGACAGTGCAGTTCACGCTCCCTGGGAGCAGCGGGCTGCGCTCTCCTGTCTCTGAGTGGGACACAGCACCTCTGCTGCGTCCCAGGGCCTGGTGCCAGCAGAGTGAGTCTGGCACCTCTGCCAGGGCACCCAACAAAGCTCAGACCAGCGCGGTCACCGGGAGCTGGCACCAAGCAGAGAGGGCACAAGGCACAGTCCGCTAACCAGCCTCTCTGGGACTGCTCAGGGCATCGTGCTCTGAGGACCCAGCAGCGCTGGTGTGCGGCACATGGCAGAGGAGGCACACCAGACTCCCACGTGTGTAGCTCAGCACCATGCTAACGCACCATCTCCCTGAAGAAAGAGCCACACTGGGGAAGAGGTGGGCACAGCTGGTGCCAGTTTCCCTAGGACACCCTGCCACAGCTGGAAGAATGCCCTGGGACCCCGCTTCTGCTCCCCCCGCACGTCCAGCTCCCGTGGCGCCTGCTCACCTGCCCCTGCCACTCCGCGACGTTCACCAGCACAATGCTCTCGGGGAGCTGCTCGTCTGAGACCAGGATCTGGTTCAGCTGATCGTAAACAGACTTTCGGGGCACCTATGACAGCACCAGCACAAAGGTTAACCCCAGCTGGCTGCCTCGGGCGCTCTGCCCACAGCCGAAGACCTGGCAGGGGTCTCGAGCGAGAAGCCTCCAGGTGAGGCGGCTTCCAGGGCCTCACCTGGGTGCTGTGCCATGAGTCTGGAGAGCTCTCGCTGTCCAGGCTGCTGGCACAGCCACCCTGTCCCTTGGAGCTCTGCCGGTCCTTCACAGAGGTGCTGCGGGGACGCCACAGCTGCTTGCTCTCTGCCTTGCTGTGAGCAAGAAGGAGGAGCAACACTGCTGAGGAAACCCCACCTCCGCCAGCCCCCACCCGCTCCAGGGAGCCAGCGTGGGCCCTCCCAGGCCTGGCACGGGGCGCGGACCCTCCTTACCTGGGGGACACAGCACCGGGGAGCTCGGCTTTGGTCCCGGGGCCCAGCTGGACCAGCCTGTCCACACTGCCCTCCCTCTCCCTGCCCTGCTCCCACGCCCACGGGTGCCCCCGTCCAGGACAGGCCTGGTGGCCCCGCTGGAGAACCAGGGCTGCAGGGCCTCGAGGGGGCTGGGCTGCATCTTCTGCAGACCCTAACCCTCCTTCCACCCTTGCTGATCTCCAGCCCAGTCTGCTTGTCCCCCCAGTCCCACTCCCAGGCTACCCCAGTGAGCAAGGTGGGGCCTGAGGAAGCCCCAGCCCGGCTCCACACCCCATCGCCTGGACTCACCACTGCAGGGACCTCCACTCCTGGCTCTTCCTGCGGTCGCAGCACTCCCGGCTTCCGCTTGTCCGCCTCGCCCTGGGGGACAGGGAGCGGGGTCAGAGCTGGCCAGAGCGCCCCGAGCAGGGCAGCTGCCAGTGACCCACGCCTGGCCTCACACAACACATGCTCCCGTAGGGGAGCCCGGTGTCCCCCTGGGACCGGCCCCAGGGGGTGCCCCCCACCTCTACCTGTCTGCCTGCACTGGGAAAGAGAAGAGGAAAGAAGGGAAGGAGCAGCCCCAGGCAGGTGCTGCCAGGAGCTGTGGTCGCAGAGGGAGCTGCAGGCACTGCGGGGATGCTGGGCTGGCTGGGGAGGGAAGGGGGCAAGAGGTGGTGGTGGTGGTGGTGGTGGTGTAACTCACAGGGCTGCCCGACTCTTGATCCTGCCCTTTCTGGCTGTGCAGACTGCCGATCTCAGTCTGGGAACCAGAATGAGAGACTCCCTCAAAGAAACGCCTGCAGAGAAACAGACAGACGAACGGACGGACAGACAGACAGACGGGAGAGAAAAAGGCAGGAATAAGAGAGGAACAAAGTCACCGTGACCCCAGCACGCCCCCGCCGGCCTGTCCCAAGCACAGAGCGCTGTGGAGAGGTCCCCAGTGGGACACAGGGCCAGACACCGAAGTGTCCGAGCGACTCACAGCCTAGGAGCAGACCAACAGCAGACTGACAGCCCCCCGCACCACAGTCTGCTGCAGTGATGCTGGGTGCAGGGACAGGACAGGGCCCCCCCAGACCAACAGGGCCGGACCTGTGACCCCGGTGCGGTGGAGGCAGGGTCCCTGTCCCCCAGCCAGCAGCAACTTCTCTCTCAGCTGATCCCCTGCCACCGCAGTGCAGGGTGAGGACCCGCCACCTTGCCCCGTCCCATTGGTACATGGTCT